TATCTGCAGTCCCGGGAGGATGGGTAGTAATGTGGAGGGAGGTGGTTTATACAAATCAAACATTTTAATCTGCTCTTGTAGATAACTAAAGTAAACAACGGCTGAAAAATAGTTGGTTTATGAACGAAATATATTTTGATTCACAGGGGTACAGCTCAGGTCATCGAAACAGCTAAGTTCATAAGAAGGCTGATGTCTAAAAAGTCGCAACCGAAAAGAATATAGATTCCAAGTATCAGATCTGTTCTGGTCTTTTCTGTGTCCTATGCATAAGACTCAGAGTAAATTGTATATACTGTATGAGCCCTCATCACATGCAGTGTATGATACAGTTTCGGGTGCCTCAGAAGCCGTGATCGGTATACTGTAAGGCGCACAGTCGTTGTACTACTGTGTGCAATCAAGGCGTGAGCTTCAGACCACTCGCTCTCCCAAGAATTTCGGTTCAACCCCAGCAGTGGCGGAAAAAGAGATTGATGTATGATAGGGTTAGTTGTTATCCCTCCGATGACACGGTGGTTTCCCCTGTGGGTTTTCTTCCACCACGAAAACAACATCTGTTCCCTTAGCAGCGTCGTAATAAACGCTCTACAGGGCTTCTGTTTGTTGTTGACAATATTGTACACGACGTTAAATAAAGATTATTATATCATAAAGGAAAAACAGGCATTTTCCTTTTACGAAGCCGCACTGGATTCAGTTTGTGTAAGGTAAGCGTGCGAGTTTAAGGCAGCAAGTTGATGTATGTGCCTCTACCTGATAGCACTGGTTTGATGCCAACTTAAGAGTCCTACCTCACTGAATCATCATGCCGACAACACCCAACACCATACTCAATATGGTTAGATTATAATGATAACGGGTAGGGAATAACAACTTTCCTTTTTAACAACTTTGAAATGTTCCGTCTTTGGAACTTGACATTTTGTCTCCACTTACATGGTTGAAGATGGAAAACAGTTGATTCATTCAAAGAAATGCATACATAACATAGTTTGAGGTATATATCTCTGGGAAATAAAGGAACACAGATATGCAAGATATATATGCTTCATTATATTTCGCTGTTGGAGGTTTTCTTTATACGGTAATAGTCGTTTTATTCTAGAACCGTACAGGTTTGTATACTAACAACATAATATGCCTTTTGGTGTCTTTGGGTGGCCGAGTGGTGCAGTGGATAGCGCACTTGCCCTTCACCAAGTCGGTCAGGGTTCGATTCCTCGATTGGACGTGATCAGGTATGGGGTCACCTGCCCGACCACGTGTTTTTTTTCCGGGTAACTTGTTTCATAATTGTTGTAAAATAAATAAAGTTTGTAAAATTTGCCTTTTTGATATTACAACTACCAATAAAAACTGGATCTTTATCGTTTTCACAATAATAACGACAGCTGTTTATCTCTTGGTGATTATGATAGCTATTGGCAGAAATATTAATATATATATACATTGTAGTGATATTTTGTAGATAGCGCGGTATCTGATACCTACAGAGACACCTAATGTTTACATTATGTTTACAGCTAATATCTGCCGGCCAGACAGCAACCTACACCTGTTGACTGTGTCTCCAGTTTCAGTGTTAAAGTCATATTGGTGGCAAGATATTGACTATTCTGCACGACGAATGATAGTGTTCAGTACCGGTCCACGATGCTTTTAATTCTTCAAGGCAGAACCCCGTGCAGGGGAAGATAGGCCTGCAAGATCACAAGAAGCGACTATTGTGCCCCCGCCCCTCTCTCTCTGAAGTTTTTTACCATATTTATAGTATACATGTAATGAAATTCCAAAATTATTCACGTATGATATTGTAAACAGTACGATGAACGTTTGGTGTAAGAAGCTAGTTTATCTCACTTCACTTAGTTAATTTGTTTTTAAATAGTGAGAGAAACTTATTTCCACAATAGCCTATTGTTTGTTTTACTTTTTAAAGGCATGTGGTTCAATTTGGACTTAGAATAGCTCTTAAACAGCTCTGCTGGCTATCTGGGAAGGTTTCTACCTTGTATGTGTCAAAGTAACATGCGTCATGTCTGTAAATCAAAAATAGTTAACAGGGTTCGACCGGCGTAATTATACATTGTTCGACACTGTTTCAGTAGATAACAATACTTATGCCAGTATGTTTCGATGTGAGAGTAAGTATAATCTAGGTTTCATAGACAGCTTTCGCGTCCCGTTCATTTTGTGACATGTGTGACGGTTATACATTAAGGTCTATAGTATCTGGTTGGTTTATATTTTAAGAATACCACAACGAACTTGATGCTGATCGATCTTTCTGAGCTAGTGTCAGATATTGCAAACGATTGAGCGTTAAAGTAAAGCAGCTTTAGAATTCGGCAATACTTGGTGTGTGGTATGGTTTTTCTCTATTCCCGCTGTGGTTGTCTCCCTTCCATCATTTCATTCCAGAGTAATTTTCGTTATAATGGTGAAGAAACGGTGAACATGGACTCCCGTGGAAAATGAAACCAGTGTCAGGGTCCCGCTGACAATTGACCACTTCAGCGGTTATTTTTCCACGTGTGTCTTGTTGAAAATTGACCGTGGAAAAGAGCCTCCTGTCAGATGTCAGATTCCCAGCAATATAAGCTCACCTTAATTTGTGTACGCTTTATAAGTTTAGTCGGTATACCTGTACGAAATAACGGTAATGCAGACAATTTGATTCGGCTACGCTTTATTTAACGCCTGCTCATAGGTGTGCGAGAGTATAAAAACAATAAAGGTAAATACAAAATATACTGAAGACGATTTTGTGAGAATGAATGAGTTCCTGGTAGACAATATGTTCAGCAGACTGTAGTCAATCTTAAGGGTAAATACTATGACCATGTTTTGGCCGATTTGTTTCTGTTTTCATATGAGGCTAAACGTTAAGTCGAGCTTATCAGAACTGATAACAAAAACCTTCCCAAGTCTTCAACTTCACATTCAGATTTATCGACGATGTGCCTTTTTTTAATAACAAAACAATCATTGACCACTTCGATCGTATATACCCTCCAGAATTTGAAATCAAGGACACCGTAGACTCTTCCATTTCTGTCGCTTTCCTTCATCTTTCTTACTGCATGACAACATGCACAACTCTCTACTTAACTGTATGATAAGCGGAACAATGTCGACTTTCTGAGCACGAACTTTCAATTTCTTGATAGCAACATCCCTGTTTTCCCTACCTACGATGTTTGCATATCCTGCTTATGCGCATTTCGCTACCCGAGTTTGTTTGCGATGTGAGGACGTTATGTCACTTTTGATTCGACTTAGATTTACATGGCGGGTGTCATCAATGAAGCAGAAGATGCTTTCCCTTCCGCAACACCTGGACTTATTCTCCTTATACTTTTTCAAGGGTCTCCATGTAGTTATTTCCTTTGTTCATACTGTGCCCTGATTTTATCAATTTTGAGTTCCATTCATGGTTTTGTTTACGCTTCGATATTCTCGTGTTGTTGTTTAATAAGCTTGGAACTACTTATTTCCAAGGTTAATGGGTTGCCTTTATATAAACTTTATTTATTTTTCAACCATTATGAAACAAGTTATTTCAACTTATATTAATCACTCTTGTTGGCCCGGATGTTAGCGCGTGGGGGGTCTAAGTAGGGGGTTGCCTTTCCCAGGGAAATAAATTGATTTCTATTGAAATTAATACATTAAAACCTAATTGTTAATTATAATTTGAGCCTACTTATTACCCATGATGATAGACTATCCTCCCGAGGGAATTACTTATTTCCCGGAGAATAACAATCTATGGACGAAGGGAAGTCTGTCGACTTAAATCTTTCTCCCTGGAAAATTACGAAACGTAGGTAAAACCTTAAAATTAATATTGTTGCATTGATTTTATTATCGATCTCCTTTTTTTTTTTTTTTACTACCTGGCAATCTATTTTTTTTGGCAATAACTAGACCTAAGCTTACCATATACAATTTGACCAGAATAGATATTTTAATTTCCGATATATTCTGTATTTATAAGACTTGCATAATACGATTAGCTGGATATGTTACAAAAATGAATTTTGCTTTATCAAGCCCAAATGTCAAGAATCCACATTTCGTTATTTTCTTTTTACGTCTTACGAGTTATTTCAGGTTGTACAGCATAAGAAAATTTTCAACATTATATATTAATATTTCCAGGGAAACATGGCGAAATCGGCAAGAATTGTGCTGACAAAAATATATTTATAACAAGTACAAATATATGAATATTTGAACATTTCGCAAGGTTTTTCATCTTTTATTTTGATACATTTCGTTTACAGTTCCTTGGTTAGTATAGTACTTGGTTGCCAAAAGGTCTTCTTATTCAACTTATTGAATTCTGCAGATTTTTTTCGATTATTATCTGAATCTTATTTCATTTTTCGCATTCTGTATTTCCCAATTATAATTTGTAATTGTAAAAGTCGGTCAAACATACGAATTTTACGTTATAAGTGATATTGGTAAAACAGCATCATTTTGATCGTAAGTAGAACAACTTCAGTCAATATCTTACAAATGTATTATCAGAAATGTATGAATGTTTGCACAATTGATAGTTTTTTGTTTAAATAATGAAAATATAGCCTTAAATTATATTTTGATCTCAGAAAAGCAATTAAGGTTACTTCTACCCCTTATTTTTAAGTTAAAATATACTCATATTTTCAAAATAGTTTTGCTGACCCAGCGATTGATATGAAATGTTCTACTGGCTATTATAAATATTCACTAGATTGACACTCCTGCTGGTCGAGGATTGGGGGAAAGAATACACCTAATGTAACCTACTGAATGTACCGAAAAAAAGCAACCAAAATAAATCTGCTGCACCCATTGCAATATTTTGGATCTTCGAATTTCTCGCAATCAACCTTTCGTTTCCTAACGCCTTTCTTGGCAATACCTCACAGTTTTGCTTTGATGCTGAACTGCGTGACATTGAAAAAATATCACAAAACTGTTAAAGTTTATCTTTTATATTTCAGTAAGAAAGGTGTGTACACAGCTACAGCTACAGAAGATAACGATTTCCAGCACGTGGACGGAAAAGGTACGCTCTCCATAACTGATCGCTACCTGAAGGCCGAGTATATGGCCATGGCTAGGGCCAGTAATGGGATGTTGACACGTGATCAGTTCGTGAAACTCCTGATGTTCCTTGGATATGGAGGAGAAGGACAGGCAGAGGTGTGTACACATCTTTAGTCATTGTTTTACTTTTATTAAATCATTTTCCCATTTACAACGCCATTTCTTACGAATCTGAATTTGTTCTAGGCATGTATTGTTAAACGAGATTTGATTTCATAGTAACTGAGGGCTTCTACAGAAAATTACATGGTCTTAACCGAAGCGTTTGTGGTGATAGGCAAGTGACAATAAATAATAATAACAAACAGTTATAAGGGTATAGTTAAAAAAAACTGTATCTGTGTTACTTTTTTTGTAATTCTTCACACCGAATGAAAGCGTGGAAATTTCCGTGTTGGCAATGGTACTCAACTCTATACATCTTATATGAATTTGATTTATATGACATCGAAATAAAATGATCACGTGTGATTTTCGTGCTAATGTACTCTACGCATAAAAACAGATAAACAAAAACCAAAAAACGTTTACATATTATTTTGATACCCTCGCAATGAGTTGTCAAGCTTATAAATGTTGTGGTTTGTTTGTTTGTTTGTTTGATTTTGTTTAACGTCCTATTAACAGCTAAGGTCATTTAAGGACGGCCTCCCCTGGGTGCAAGATGCATGCGTGTAGTGTATGTGTGTGTATTTTGGGAGGCTGCGATATGTTCGTGTTTGTCTCCTTGTGATAGCGCGAAACTGATGCCGACTTTATAGTGCTACCTCACTGAAACATTCTGCCGAAGACACCCAGCAGGACGCCCCACCCGGTCACATTATACTGACAACGGGCGAACCAGTCGTCCCACTCCTAATTTGCTGAGCGTTAAGCAGGAGTAGAAACTACCATTTTTAAAGACTTTGGTATGTCTCGGCCAGGGGACAGAACCCAAAGCCTTCCTCACAGGGGCGAACGCTCAACAAATGGCCAAAAGTGAGGCATTGTCAAGGGAGACATTAGGAAGAAGAAAGTTATTTAGAAAGGAGAGAAGAGATAAGGTCCCAAATTTAGTCGCCTCTTACGATCATGCAATTGGGGGCAGCAGGTACAATTCTTACGCCCTACCTGCAGGGACAATGTTGTGGATATGGCTAATACTGGTGATATAATGAAATAAAGATGAAATATGATGTAACCCAAATATAGTAGCACTTCCGGAATAACTGCCCGTCATCCGGGTTCTCTTGTGTATATATTAGTTTGTACACCCATGGAGTAAATTCTTCCGGGAAAACCCCCAGAGTAAAAGGAGGAGAATACAATTTAACATGGACTGCAGACACGTGGTTGTTTGTGGAGATGGTGACACAGCTATTACGTAATATGTATACAACATACATATCCATTACAATATTACTTTATATAAATGCAGGAGTTGTCGTTTAATGGCATATTATTAAACAAGTCAAAACATAATTAGTATTATAATCGCTGGTACAATTAAATGAAAAACAAATATAGAACATTATCATTTACTGAAAGTAATTTCAAATGGCAGCAGGGGGCTTTCATGTCCTACCGACATTTTCTATTTTGTACTTTAATAGGCACTGGTGAAGGCGGTGAACAAGGACGAAAACGCGGTCATAACACTAGACGAATATTACGACGCCATGAAAAATAATCCGGAAGTGATGCAAAAGTAAGTAATGTTGCATAATTATTGCAAGCTTAATGTAAGTACTCCACGTAAAAGCAGATGCAAAATGATGATAACGAAATTTCAGAATTCATTTTTTTCAAATACGTTTTCTTGTGCAAATTATAGCCAAATAATCCTGAGATTTCCTTCCTCTAAACAAACAGTATTTATCATATTTAACCAAGTATGACGCTAGCATTTGTGTGTTCCAGAACAAGCATGATGCGAAACCTTTTCGGGCGATTTGACGACAACAAAGATGGAAAGGCTAGGCGGGATCAAATTGAACAGGGATTCAGGGATATGGGAGTTGAAGTGGACGACAAAATGAAAAAAGACATTGCAAAAATGGATGAAAATCACGATGGGAATGTATTTTATCAGGATTTCGTACATACACAGCTGAAGAATAAGGGATATATTTCATAATGATACATGCGTTTCTGTAATACTTTAGCGTATTGTTTTGAACCCATTAATAATACTATTTGTTTTATAAGAGGGAAGGTTTTGTTAAATTAACTACAATTTTGTAAAACTTTATACAATCTACAATTGTTGCCGGGAAGGTTTTTTCTGTCAAATACTTATCGTGATGATTTGTTTTCAGGTGTGTCATTGATTTTGTCAGTTTTTATTGCAATTTTATTTGTTGAAATGGTGTTTATTTAGGAAAAGTAAACAAGAGAAACAGTGAGACAAAGAGACAGAGAGAGAGAAAGGGAGAGAGAGGATTTCCTGATTTCAAAAATTAGTAATTTTTGGCTAGACATTACCCTGAAATTCTCCAACCAATTAGCGAACAGATTGCCATGGAGGCTATTTTGTAAAAAAATAAATTTCAGTTTCTTATACTTAAAGATGGCAGTGCAGGTTATAAAGTTTTCAATTGAGACTTTGAAAAAAAAAGTTGTTTTTTTCCGGGTTTGAGATCTTCCTCTTCTTCTGCCGACTATCGTTTCTAAGGAAGTGTCGACATTTTTGTTTGTCCTTGCTTGGTAACGAGTATGGGTCTCGCTGGGTATGTTCAATATGTGCGCAAAATGACACTACTATACTATATATAATATATTACACATTCGCGATTTTCTACCGACAGTTTGTATCAGATCAGTTGAATAAAATTGAAATGGAACACATCAAAGATAGCATTTATCTAAGAAAATTGGACAAAGTAGCAAAATACGACCAATTAAAATATATAATGCATAATCCCTGCCTAAACGACGAAGACTAACGAGTTCATCGTACAGTTTTCGTGTGTTGGTGCAGCTTTATGCACGTGAACGACCGATGATATATATGAGATTTTAGAAGTATTTTCAGTAAGATACCTTTTATTTAGGATACACAATTTTCGAGAATGTGCCATAAGTACCAACCAGCCTGGCAGTTTTTCAAAGTCTCTAGGTGATTGCGTTTGATGTTTGATATCGGTTGCCGATCAGGGTTAGCGGTGCATTGTATCGCAAAAGGGTCAGTTGTAGAATGATAATCGGTTTGACAGGTAATGTACTTTTTATACCTAGCGAGACCCATACTCGTTACCAAGCAAGGACAAACTAAAATGTCGGCATTTCCTTAGAAACGATAGTCGGAAGAGATGGGGGAGATCTCAAAACCAGAAAACAATATTTTGAAAAAATAAATAAAATATCTCAATTGAAATTGAAAGGTCCATCTCTACAACTATATGTATGGTGTTCGTTGAATTTAAGAATCAAGAAATATCAGCGAGAGGACGGTGTTGTAATTGCAGTCTTCAAACACACGAACATACTAACCATGAGAATCAGAGCGAGATGATCATCGGAGCATGATACATTTTGTAGATACTGATTATATCACTATGTCGTTTTTCAACAAATGATTCTATAATGTAACAACGATGGCATATTGTTTGATTTAGTGTCGTATAGGACTCCGGGTAGGCTTGTTGTTGTATAGGACTCCGGGTAGGCTTGTTGTTGTATAGGACTCCAGGTAGGCTTGTTTTTGTATAGGACTCCAGGTAGGCTTGTTGTTGTATAGAACTCCAGGTAGGCTTGTTGTTGTATAGGACTCCTGGTAGGCTTGTTGTTGTATAGGACTCCTGGTAGGCTTGTTGTTGTATAGGACTCCGGATAGGCTTGTTGTTGTATAGGACTCCAGGTAGGGTTGTTGTTGTATAGGACTCCTGGTAAACTTGTTGTTGTATAGGACTCCGGGTAGGCTTGTTGTTGTATATGACTCAAGATAGATCTGTTGTCGTATATGACTCCAGGTAGGCTTGTTGTTGTATATGACTCCTGGTAGATTTGTTGTTGCATAGGACTCCGGGTAGACTTGTTGTCGTATAGGACTCCGGGTAGACTTGTTGTTGTAAAGGACTCCGGGTAGGTCTGTTGTTGTATATGACTCCTGGTGGACTTGTTGTCGTATTGGACTCCAGGTAGACTTGTTGTCGTATATGACTCCAGGTAGGTTTGTTGTTGTATATGACTCCTGGTAGACTTGTTGTTGTATAGGACTCCTGGTAGACTTGTGGTCGTATAGGACTCCAGGTAGACTTGTTGTCGTATACGACTCCTGGTAGACTAGGAGTCGTAGAGGACTCCGGGTAGGCTTGTTGTTGTATAGGACTCCGGGTTGACCTGTTGTTTTATAGGACTCCGGGTTGACCTGTTGTTGTATAGGACTCCGGGTTGACCTGTTGTTGTATAGGACTCCAGGTGTACCTGTTGTTGTATATGACTCCAGGTAGACCTGCTGTTGTATATGACTCCATGTATACCTGTTGTTGTATAGGACTCCGGGTTGACCTGTTGTTGTATAGGATTCCAGGTATACCTGTTGTTGTATATGACTCCTGGTATACCTGCTGTTGTATATGACTCCATGTATACCTGTAGTTGCAGAGGACTCGAGCCTCGAGATAGACTTATTGTTGCATAAGACTCTAGGTAGACCTATTATTGAATAGGACTCTAGGTAGACTTGTTGTCGTATAGGACTTTTGGTAGACAAGGGATCATATATGACTCAGGGTAGACCTGTTGTCGTATAGGACTCCGGGTAGACCTGTTGTTGTATAGGCCTCCGGGTAGACTAGGGATCGTATATGACTCCATGTAGACCTGTTGTTGTTTAGGACTCCGGGTAGACTAGGGGTCGTATATGACTCCAGGTAGAATTGTTGTCGTATAGGACTCCAGGTAGACCTGTTGTTGTATAGGACTCCGGGAAGACTAGGGGTCGTAGAGGACTCCGGGTAGACTAGGGGTCCTAGAGGTCTCCGGGTAGACTAGGGGTCGAAGAGGACTCCGGGTAGACTAGGGGTCGTAGAGGACTCCGGGTAGACATGTTGTTGTATAGGACTCCGGGTAGACCTCTTGTTGTATATGACTCCGGGTAGACCTGTTATTGTAAGTGACTCCGGGTAGACCTGTTGTTGTATATGACTCCGGGTAGACCTGTTGTTGTATATGACTCCGGGAAGACTAGGGGTCGTAGAGAACTCCGGGTAGACTAGGGGTCGTAGAGGACTCCGGGTAGACTAGGGGTCGTAGAGGACTCCGGGTAGACTAGGGATCGTAGAGGACTCCGGGTAGACATGTTCTTGTATAGGACTCCGGGTAGACCTGTTGTTGTATATGACTCCGGGTAGACCTGTTGTTGTATATGCCTCCGGGCAGACCTGTTGTTGTATAGGACTCCGGGAAGACTAGGGGTCGTAGAGGACTCCGGGTAGACGAGGGATCGTAGAGGACTCCGGGTAGACATGTTCTTGTATATGACTCCGGGTAGACCTGTTGTTGTATATGACTCCGGGCAGACCTGTTGTTGTATATGACTCCAGGTAGCCCTGTTGTTGTATATGACTCCGGGTAGACTAGGGGTCGTATAGAGTTCGCTGCTGGTGCAGCAAATAAATTCATGGGAGTCAACACGCTGCGGACTCCGAGTGTACTTTGTGAAAACTTTTAGTCCGCTCAAAATTGTAGCAGTTGTAAGTCACCGGTTAATACAGTGTTCGGTTTACTTACATGTTTACCAAGTACCAGAATAATATTTTTAGCTTAGTTAAAAGTCCGCTTTGTTTATATTGCCTTTTTTGAAATATCACATTTTAGAATTTCATTAAAACTGATTAAAGTTGTTATTGTTGTGTTAATTATTTAGATAAAAATGTATTCCGACTGTTACTAGGACTACCACAACAACTGTATTTCATATCATGAATATTTCAGCTAAGTCACCAATTCTGCAGAGTTTCCCACTATAGTTGCCTCTTTCAGCATGTGGTGAATTACTACGTTCTAAATCCCCGATCTGCAGGAAAAAAATTACCGTAAATCTATCTTTTATGTGACACCATTTACATACACACAAAAACAAAACGATAAACATTGTAGTGGTAGTCATAAGCACGGAAGACACGCTAATGATACATCCTCATATTTTGTTTTTTGCAATTATGAACCAAGTTAAACTTAATCACACTTGCCAGCTCAGATGGAAACGCCATAATGTGGACGGAAATCGGGACATGTTAAACCTTGTATTGTAGGAGATATATTTAAATAAGCGCCATTATATATAAAACAGTATAAATAACTAACAAGCCGAAAAAAACCTCTATTATCAGTAAAATCGTTATAACTCGGTAAAATACGGCTCAATCTTTCAGTGATTTGTTACCCGTGATAGTCGGGGGAAGAATCTCAAAAACAGAACATTAGGCCAAATAAAAAGTTACCTGTGTTTCCTGACCGACCCAAATAAAAAGTTACCTGTGTTTCCTGACCGACCCAATTTTTCATGCCGATCCTAATACATTTTATTGGTTTTTCACAGTCACTGTTATGCATTTATCAGCCGTTTTTTTTTTTTAGTGTGCATGTAATTTGCCATGAATTTGATTAACATTGGCTTCTGCTCAGTGTCAGAATTTTTTTTGAAGAAAGTATCTAAGTAGCCGTAGATAATTGTAAATATGATATAGATTGGGTCCGTAGATAATTGTGATTACGATATAGGTTGGGATCCGTAGATAATTGTGATTATGATATAAGTTGGGATCCGTAGATAATCGTGATTATGATATAGGTTGGGTCCGTAGATAATTGTGATTATGATATAGGTTGGGTCCGTAGATAATTGTGATTATGATATAGGTTGGGTCCGTAGATAATTGTGATTACGATATAGGTTGGGATCCGTAGATAATTGTGATCATATATATACATACATACATATTATCTTAGTACCAGCATGTGTACCAAAATTTAGGTATACGTAATGCTGTCAGGTTATATTTATAGATTCAGAACAAGAACATATCTCAACAGTCTCCTACACTCTTCATACACGTGATAATATGGTAATAATTAGATTAGGGATGATGCTGATTTGCTTAAGTTATCACTAGGCAGGTCAAGGTTAATTACCATTGGTCAAGCAGTAAGCCACGCATAATTAATGAGATGACCAACAAAGGTCAGCGTCACCCCGCACTGTTTTAGGAAACTATCGGAGCGTGCGGACGCATTTTACATCAGCTTATATCTAAGGCACTTATCAGTGCAATATCAAACATTACCTACGTGTACACGTGTAACTGTTAGAGTACCTGATCAAACAATCTTGGCATTATCATAGCGAACGGAACCCGTGTGTTTGTTTACGTTTTGTTCATGTAAACAATGGGACCCTTATTGTCGACTGTATCATACCAATACATTATGCCTCGTGGACGTTCATCCAGAGATACTAGGGACGTTCTTCCTTACGACCCGGCCGATTACAAGAATTGGACTAGCGTTAAGTTTCTAGATGAGTTGTCAAGTTGGGAATTAAAACGCCCGCCGCCATATGTCAAAAACTATGGTACGCCAGTTCTATGTTGTAAACATGAACAATTCGGTGTCTGTACGAAATCCACAATCCAACCGTGGGATAGTGTCTACTGGAACCTAGAACGATAACATCGCACTGATGATGTAGCCAAAGAGAATGTTCCGCGGCATTACGAAGTAGGAACTACATCGCAACAGCGCACTGATTGCCAATCACAACTGGAGGCTACGCGCAGTGACACGGCCTCGTACAGCGCATGTCCGCCAGTGGCCAGCGGCCGGACTCACCGAAAACATTCAACCCAACATGAAATAATAATAATAATAATAATATTTATTCAGGTAAAAAGCAAATAATACACTTCTATCACATTTTGCAGATTGGACATAAATATATATATTATCACAGAATGAGGTCTTTATAAGTTTTTTTATGCCATAAGACTAGAAGTCAGTCAGGTGTTAAAACTGGATTGGATTAGATTAATTTAGGCCTTTACCTGGGATGACTCATAAAGCCACATTGTGGCTTAATTCCAATTGGACACCCTAATGAGTGTCCTGGGAGATTTTTGCGCGCCCGAGAGTTCGCTATCTTCTGCTTCATAAATATTGTTCACTTACCTAGGTTTGTGAAAACATTAAGTTCAATCGTAACAGTAAAAGTACCGAAATACATCGATAAAGATGCCTATTTGGGAAGAATGAGTATCCTTGGAAGTTTTTGCGTTGTAAC